AGTGAGTAGGCTTCCTGAACAGGGCCTTTGGTGACGCTTGGTAGTATGAGAGTATTTCGCGAGGTGCAAGCCGCGGGTAACTAGCCGCCATTCTAGACATCCAACTTCGACCATACTGAGGCTTTTGAAGGCATTGGTTGCGTTAGGCTTCCTGTGTGGGTAAACAGAGATGATATGTCTACGAAAAGATGTCGATAATGGAGAGTTTGGCAAAGAGTGAAGATGTAGTCGATACAACCTCATCAGGTCTACAATCTGCCTGGTTCTCACTCGTGCACACTTCACGAGGCGCAGACCATCAGCAGATTATAATGCCGGCGGGAATTTTAGAGGCAATGTTTTTAAACTAATTCCTCTGTGATTTTCACAAGAGGACCTATCGCCCTTGTAAATCGGTATAATGTCCGATTCACACCATGCGGTTGGTACCTGTTCTCTTTTCCATGTTGAGCCCAGGAGTTTTGTTAACGTCGAAACCAAGACTGAACCACCATCCTCAAACGCCGATAGGAACAGCCCATCTGGGCCGGAGGCCTTATGTCTTTTGAGATAGCTTATTTCCCGGGAAACCTACATTTCAGATGGGAGACTAGCATCAACTAGGAGTCTTTGCCTAGTCGAGATGGGAGTTGATAGGTTATATGTCGATGGAAGCCAGTTGTATTGAGCCTCGAAATGTTCAGCCCATCGATCAAGACGGCGTGGCTAATCGTGAATCAGTGTGCTATCGGATTATTTAATTACCTCACTTGCGCCTATTACCTAGGACCCGTATTCCTAATTAGAATGTAAAGATTGCGACTATTACCAATTACCGCAGGTTTCTCCATCTCTTTACCGTTTCCTACCCACCACTTCCGCGATCATTCCTCAGACTCTTGATGAGTTAGCGTTCGAGGGCTTTGCGCGCTGTGTCATGTGTGGCATCGGAGGGGAGGGTTCTGCGGGCGTCCTGAAGGATAGCCGCGGTCGACGAGATCCATCATTTGTGATATGAGCCTGCATCAGGGTGGGACGTTGTTTTTATCGATATTTGTGATACTACGCCGCCTGACACCCTCAAGAGAGATGAATGTTCACGAGCAGCAAGCGGGATTCCGACCAGGTGGCGGCTGGATCAACCAAATCTTCATCCTGCGTCATTTCATCAAATTGCGCATCATAGACATTGCCGATCAACAATCGCAGTGTTCCTTGACCTGAACGGAATCTTTGAATCATTTACCCGTAAAATCTGAACTGGACTGAACCGAATCCCTAATGGGTTTGCTGCTTCGCAGAGGATTGCTGCAGAAGTACACAAACCTATAGCGATCATTGTACCTGCATACTTCGGGTAGCGTTGGGGTCTACGGTCGGCTCAGACAATCGCTCGAAACTAGGAGCGGTGTTTCTCTAGGGTACACTATTTCGTCATTCTTACTCAATTTCGTCGTAAACAAAATACTGGAAAACGCACGAAGTGGTGTGCATAATGTTTGGTATTGAATGGACAGCTGAAGAGAAGCTGTCCGATTTAGAGTACGCGGACGACATGGTTTGTGTGTTCGGATGTACAGAGGATGAGCATAGCGCTCTTAACAGACTTTCGATTTCCGTAACTCCATCTGTTATGCGCTTTGCACCTTCAAAGTGCAAAGTGGTGCTACAAGATTGGATATCCTCTATCCCGGCTGTGACGCTTGATGGTCAAGAATTAATTATATTAGTATGTTTCTCCCACTTACATAGTCGCGTGACAGATGAAAGTAGCGTAATGAAAGAAGTAACTATCCGCATTTCCAAAGCACGAGCAAACGTACACGGGAAAGAAACGCCTTTGATGCCGACTTGATGTTTCGTTGACAATGAGAGGTCGTGTATACTGCCCAGGGTGCGATCAGATCTGTTTTGCGGTTGCAAGACCTTTAAATTGCGCCTGGAAGATATTAATTGATGTTCAGTTGTTCGTCGAGGTTGGCGGTTGTATTGAACAACTGAACATCAAGTTATACTACCCAAGCTACAAAAACCAATCAACTCCGTTGTTTGCAAAACTGTCAAGTTATTCATTGTGTAGTAGTCTTCGACTACCGTTTACGCAGTTTGGTGCGGGTTTTATAAAGCAAGCATATAGTGATTCGGTGGAAAGTTCGTCATCACATAGAATTTAGGTCAGTAGGCTTCGCTGGTTAGGACACGTATTCTACATGCCCAGGTGTCGTCTACCGCACCGCCTCTTATTCAGGATTGCGGCTTCATGTTGGAGGAAACTACGTGGAAGTGAGCAAATAACATGAAAACGAGTCACGAAGAAATGCACAGAACTATTAGGGAGAGTAGGTGTCTGCCGTCTTCCTGTCCGGGGCCCGAAAGACTCTGCAACTATCTGATTGGGGACATTGAAGGATATGGCAGCAAACCGACAGCAGTGGCGTTCTTGTTGCCATGTCTTACGAGATCAGAATGCTTGAAAAGATTGTACTCTGTGTTGACCATTGTGGTTCACTTTCTTCACCTCCCTTTAATTGGTCCCAAACTATCTTATAGATTCTCATTTAGTGGTCAAGGAGAGCTTGGCAGCGAACAGCGAAGTTGGCTTTATTGTATCTCGTTGTACGATGATGATAATAATAATGATTGCCTCATGCACATGTCGAATACGATATGGTGTTGAAGTGTCTTATATCCCTCTTCAGGTGGCTATTCACTCCATGGGGTACACAGAACATTCCTCTAACTCAAACTGGGTTCGCCTCGGTGCATATTCGGTGCTACCAGCTGGTTGCCAGCTATTAGATTTCCCAACCAGCAGTGATTGACTAAATTTGCTCTATCCTACATGATGAGCTTCATGTGATATTACTCATTCTATTTTGTCATCGGTGCTTCATGTGTCACATGAATCAGCCCCAATGCACCGTGCTGTGTTATGCAAGATCCCAGTCTCGATTTAGTGAATTTCTTTTAATCTTCATCACTTATTCAAGTGTGTGTTTGTATTTATCTATCGAACTTGCCCTGTGATCGTTTGCGCTGCAGTGATGTTTGAAATAAGCTAGATGTATTTTTTAAATTACACACGAAGTGATTTACAGCGAAAGAGGTAAACCCCATAATCCATGATATACTCTAAGGGGGAGGTATGTGGGGGAACATTCAAGCAAGAATCAATTTGTTAATCCTGCTTTTGAAAAGTATAAGGTTATAAGAGCTGGGAAACACGGAAATGGGAAGAGTGTTCCACAATTTCGCAGTCCTCGGGAAAAAAAGATGGGAAGATAGAAGTCCGGCTTCTGAGGACAGAAGTAAAGTAAAGTAACCACTCGTCTGAGAACTAGATGAAAGCGAAAAGGTCAATGAAGGGGGGAACCGCCGAAGCGAGTTCAAAAGAGCAGAAACCAAAATAGTAGCGAT